CACCGCGGGGCACTGGTTGCTGGAAGGGAGACTTTTGGTTGGGCCGCGCCTCAGCTACAGGAGACTTCTTTCTCGCCCGCCCACGCAGCTTCGCCTCGCCCGCACGCACGGCACGCGCGAACACGAAAGCGAAACCGATTTCCCGGTAGGGGGGCTCTCCGTTCCACTTCGATCTCACCCCCTCACCTCTGATATACATATCTGTATAGGTAGTTGTATCGCGTTATATTCCGTTCTGCCCATCTCTCTGTCTCTCTCTCTCTCCCTCCCTCTCTCTCTCTCTCGCCATCTCTCCCTGTATCCTTGCAACTGTCCTGGCATCTCCCCGACGCCTCTTTGGCCCGTGGCTCGTCCCACTCCTCACGCCGCTCCCCCCTCGTCTTCGCCTCGCGCGCCACGCGCTGCTTCTCGAGCATGTCTCCGACGACGCTGAAAGTGTCGCCTGCGCGCGTTCGCGCACCCAGTACGAGCACAAGGAAGGATGGCTGTGGCAGGACGGCGCCCGCACCCGAACGAGGCTCCCCGGCGCAGCCAGGAGCGTCACGGTGGCTTCCTCTGACGTGGCGGTTCATAGATGAACGTGAGAGGCGCCGCTGTGGGGGTGGGAGGAAGTGGCGGGCGGGGAAGAGGGTTCAGAAATACTCCCTCCTCCACCTCCGCCTCCTCCCACATCCCTGACTTATCATCCTCCTCCTTCTTCCTCCGCCCCTTTCTCCTTCCGCATCATCCATACCCCCCCGTCTCTGTTCTCGTTCCCTTTCTCCTCCTCTCCCGCCGCTCTGGAAGAACCACCGCCAGGGAAGAGGGACGAGCGAGTTGCCAGCAGTTTCGGTGCAGCGTCTTCGAATCATCATTGGGAGGCCTCCCTTCTCGGCCACGCAGCTGTGACATATATTGGACATATGATTCACGATTTTTTGTGTTTTCCAGCGTTGCCGCGAAGAGCATGATTACCACTGGTCGACTGGGACTGCCCTTGTCGGAAGCAGCACAGCCCACCGCTGAGCCACGGCCGCTGAAATGCGGAGGATGTGTTTGCTGAGGTCAGAATAAGGAAACGAGAAAGGTAACCAAAGAAAGGATGGACGAGACGGACGAGGCAGAGTGAGACATCTCCGACCTTCGTGGGCATCAAGGGCGATCGCAGACTCGTTGCGCCCGGGAGGAAGCGCAGTCCCTCGGCGGGACAGACCCGCTCAGTCGAGTGCTGGCGCTCGTCAACCCAGGAACCGCAGTGATGGCATCCCCCCCGCACTGCCACGGTGCCCCTCGTGCCGCTGCTCCCCTCGTCGTACTCATCGTCGTTATCCTCCCTCCAGCTTTAGGTCGGGCATGTCCCCCGACAGGCCGATTTTGGACGAAAAATCTCAAACAGTCAAAAACGCACCCCATCAGTATTCAGAAGTACTCCAAAAATCGTCCCCATACTATTTTTGTGAACTATTTTTGAATACTCCCCTTGTATCGGGAGCGGCAAAGAGGGTGGAGTCCAAGAGGGGGGGTGCAAATCATGACCGGCGGCATGTGCGCGGCCCAGCGGGGGGCCAGGGACGTAATGGAATGAGAAGAGGCGCCATGAAATCTGGGGAAATATCATGGCCCCCGCCATGATATCCCCCCCCCCTAAGTCATCACCCCCCTCTTTGCCGCTCTCGACTGTAGAGGGATAGGCCCGACTTAACTCCAATGCCCGCCCTGGGCCTCCCTCCTCCCGCCGCCTTCCGCATTCCGACCTCCGCCTTCTGGCCAACCGCCTCTCCACACCGTCTCCCTCCCCTCCCTTCTCCGCTCCTCGTCCGTCTTCGGGGGCGCGCAACCATGGATTGGCGATCCATGCTTCTGGGGCGCGGTCGCCAAATCCACGCATCGGGGGAAGTGCCCTCCCCAAAACTGAGGCCGGTGCCGCCTCGTTCGGCGGCGGCAGGATCCGCGATGTCCCGTGGAAACGGGCCCCGTCGCTGATCCACGCCCCCTTGATCCATGCTTGCGATCGCCTGCTGTCTGCTCGTCGTGTCCGCGCGTCCTCCCCGAGACGGCTGCCACGGGACCGCCGACGTCCTCCCACTCTGTCCCATCTGCAGGGCGCTCGCATGCGGACTGCGTGCCGTGGGCTGCTCTTCGGCTCTTCGCCCCGAGGGACCCGGAGCGGGGCTCCGCGGGCCCCCAGCGCAGCGAGCATGAGGCCCGCCCCGGCTCGGCGCCGTGCAGGAAGAGGGGGCTGAGCGACAGGGTGCGGCCCTCCGGGAGGCAAGGGGGCCTCTCAGAAGCAGGGGAACGAGAAGTGGCCTACTCATAGTGACTCGGATGTCCGCGCGGATTTCTCGGATCGGCGCGTGGACCCCCCTCCTTGGCGCGTGGAGCGCGCCCCAGGGGCGGCGCTGGAGGCGCCGCCAGGGGGGTCCGGCGCGGATCCGAGAAATCCGCGCAGACCTCCGAGTTACTATGTTCATGCCATTCTCAATTTCCCTCAGAAGGAACCAGCCCTTTCTCGAAGACGTGCGGGAGGGCCGCTGGGGAAGAGGGACGGAAGCGGAGAGGGGAGGGCGAGTGCAGGGGAAAGGAGGAGAGGGGTTGGCAGGAGGACGGGGGGTCGTGGTGGGAACGGGTCCTGGCCCGGGCCAGGACCGAGTCTTGCTCCCCGGGGAGAGCCCTGGGCGGGGGTCCGAGAAGGACGCACCACCTCCAGGGCCCCTGCGCCCCTTGACGCCTCGGCCTCGATTCCAGGGCCCGAGTTTTTGTCAGCACAGCTCCGCCACCTCGGACATCGCCATCCCAGGACCCCAGGAGCTGGCTGTGGATCCCCTTCGGCCTCTGTTCAACTGCGTCCTGGGGTCCTTGGGGCGCCGACTCCGCAGGCGGTGGGTATGGATGGGACTCGGCTCTCTGACCGTCTCCGCATTCATTCCGATCTGGGTCGTCTTGGGGGATCTTGAAGCTTCGGGTGGTCTGAAAGTACTACTTGGCTCAGGTCGGGCATGTCCTCCTACAGGCGGATGTTGGAGGAACAATGAAACACAGTCAACAAAAAATGCAAAAACGGTCAAGCATAGTCGAAAAACATCCACCGACCATGTATGAACTATGCTTGGATATTATTCCTGTGGAAGGACATGCCCGACTTAACTGTGTTTGAGCCTCCACGGATGTCGGAAACGCTCCCGCCCTCCCAGGGCCGTCTCAGGGGCGTCTTGGGGCCCTCTTGGGCTGTGTGGGGCCCATTTCGGGCCGTCTCTCTTGGGAGGGGGGAGCGCTGCCCCTGTCTCGCAATTTGCGCATCCTCATCATCATCGTCATCATCAGCATCGTCATCATCATCAGCAGCATCAACATAATCTGCATCATAAGTATCATCACCATCCTCATTGACATCCTCATTGACATCGTCTTGTTGTAGCAGCCTTTACAACAGGATTCCTTGTGTGGCGACCTTACACCAGGATTTCAAGTGAGGGGGATCTGCAGTGGCCTCCTCACTTAGAATCCTTGCGTGACAACCTTTACAAAAGGAAAACTTGTGTGGTGGTTTTACAAACGGGTTTCCATTGCGGGGGGATCTGCGATGGCGGCACCTTGAGTCCAGAAAAGCTAGAGAGGAAACAATGACAAGCTGGAACAACATGAAACAGCCTGTGTTTTCACATGGATTACGATTTGATCTCCTTGGGTGTGATTGACGAAGTAAAGAAACAAGAAAAGCAGTTCTCGCAGTTCGCAACACCAGATGACTGCGATGTTGTATGTTTTCGTTGTTTGCGACCTGAGAGGGTCCCACAGCGTTCCTCTCTCCTCTCTTGGGGGCCCTCTTGAGCGCGTGCTGGGCCAGCCTGGGCGATAGTGGTGGTCTCTTGGGCGGCCTTTTGAGGCTCGGACGGCCGAAATCGGACCCCACTGGGTCTCATGAGCTTGTCCTGTGGCTATCTGGGGGCACTCTTGGGCCGTACCTGTCCCGTCTTGAGGGCCTCCTCGCGACCTCTTCGGGCCGCCCTGGGGCGGCCTTACGGCCCCCCTAGGGCGCCCCAGACACACCCGTCCCGGTCACTATCCAAATTCTGCCGAATAGAAAGATTCATGTGCGTACAGTCGGCTCGTATCCGAAGGATGCGCGGTCAGGATGCAAGGGCCTTGGACGGACTTATGATGCTCTCATCGTGCTCAAAGACCACACCCCAGAGGAAATTTCTAGCAGCCAGGAGGAGTATCGAAACAGTGTCGAACGAGCATCGCCACCCAGGGCCCGGCACGTGAAAACCCTCAAGTTTCGGTACTTTCCTGGTTCACGTAATTCTTGATGATGAAGCTAAAGTAGTTTGGAACATCATAACCTTGGACGCCCATATCGAAGCTTTTCGAGCGGAGCGCGGCCAATGAAAGTGGCCAAGGATGGGCCAAGGAGGCAAGGATGCAAGGGCACCCTTGGGAAGGATGCCCATCCTTCTTATCCGGTTTGCCTGTATCCTGGACATCCGACAACTCAATTTCTTCGAGACACGGGCCCACGACCTCCCGACCAGTTCCCTGGGACCGGTTTGTCATTCTGACTCGTTGTTTCACGGTCACGGGCTCCTGGTGAAGGCCCCGAAAGGCCAAAACACTACGAAAAACCTCCGCCTCGACGTTTGTCAAGACGCCCGGTGTCTGGGGTTGGAACTGTGTACGTCAACACGGAAGGGAAACGGGAAAGGGAGGCGTGTCTCTCTTGAGCAGAGACCGACCGTCCCGGCATTCCGATAGGCCTACCACGACATGTTCTTAGAACCCAACAAAATTCGAAGAACAGAAACCATGTTCTTAGAACATAGACCCGATGTGTTAAAACAGGACAGTCCCAGCCAGAACTGTTCTAAGAACGTGCCGTGGAAACTGCAAAAGGTTCTTAGAACATTGCTTGGTAGGCATCTGGGGACGCCAGGACGCTTCGCCACTGCCTGACTCTCAGGACGCCACAGGAGTCTGGTGCCACGGCGCGCCCCCCCCCCCGCAGCAGCCGGCGGGGGGCGAGCCCAGCTGCGCGAGCAGCGTGCTGACGAGGGCGCCCAAGGCCGAGCTGATGCCGTGGCGCGCTGCCTGGGCGGGGCGAGCGAGGACGGTTTACGTCATGGTGGGCCTGTCGTCCACCACCACCACAAGTTGGAGGAGGAAGGGATCCACCTCCTCCTCCTCCTCCTCCTCCTCCTCCTCTACTTCCTCTACTTCCTCCTCCTCCTGCTCTTCATCCCCCTCCTTCCCCCCTCCAACTTATGGTGGTGGTGGTGGAAAACAGGCCCATCACGTCAGGCTCGCGTCGTGCCGGCTTCGGCGTTGGTTCTTGACAACCGGGGAACCGTTAAACCTTGACCGATCGGCCGTGTCCGAAGCGTCCAGATCGTTCCACATCGAAGGATTCTGGGTCGCCCGCAGCGTTCAACGTTGAGCGCCGCTGGCGGGGTCGCCGCCGGTCGGCACGACACGAACCTACCGTACCAGGACGAGTTTGTTGGTCGAGGCTCGAGGCTCGATAAGTGAACGGTTTTCTTATGCGGCGCTTCGACATAGGGCGGAGAGGATGGAGGGAGGAGGGGGGCCTGGCTCCGCACCTCTGCTCTGTGCGACTGCAGTGCGCCCTGTGGGGGAGACTGCACCTGATCGAAACAGGCGCCAAAAACAGCCAAGATCTACCCCTATGGGGGGGGGAGGGGGGGTGCGAGGAATCGCGCCGATCGGCAAAATAATGGATCAGAAAACTATCACTAATGTTGGTCTGTTCTGTTGGTGTGCCTCCAAGAATCGTCGTGTATACCGTCAAAAATGCACGCCTCACGCCAAGAAGATAAACAACCCGGAAGAAACGCACACACATCAACACCAGATGCTACGTCGTCCCGCAACGCGAATGTGAGGACACATCCCCCTTCTTTATGTGGCCACCGTGCCTCTGCGAGAAACCAATATATTAAACAAAAAGAGCGCAGGACATACACATGTCGAACATTCCCCCTACCTGGGCTCTGCCTAGAAGGGTTCTTACTGTCTTAGCTTAAAGGGGCCGGGCAGTGTAAAGCGCCCCGGACGGTTCCCCCGGCATCCGCCCCGCGGTTCCCCCAGTTACGTCCACTTAGCTTAGCGTTGCTTACATCATCTTAGCTTAGCTTATGTAATATTATATCAGCTTAGCTTCATATTAGCTCAGGCTTATCTTAGCTTAGCTTACCTTCATCTTAGCGTCGCCGAGCTTTAGCATAGCAGAGCACAGCATAGCGTAGCATAGCGCAGCACAGCATATCATAGCATAGTCCAACATAGCATAGCACAGCGCAGCATAGCATAACGCAGCATAGTATAGCGCAGCACAGCATAGCACAGCGCAGCATAGGATATCATAGCATAGCATAGCATAGCATAGCATAGCTCAGCATATCATAGCATAGCTTAGCATAGCTTAGCATAGCACAGCGCAGCATAGCATAGCATTTCATAGCACAGCGCAGCGCAGCACAGCAGAGCATAGCGCAGCACAGCATAACATAACATAGCATAGCACAACATAGCGCAGCATAGCATAGCACAGCGCAGCATAGGATACCATAGCATAGCATAGCAGAGCGCAGCATAGCATAGCATATCATAGCATATCATAGCATAGCATGTCATAGCGCAACATAGCATAACATAACATAGCGCAGCATAGCATAGCATAGCATAACATAGCGTAGCATTGCATACCCTAGCATACCCAAACATAACATAGCATAGCATAGCGCACCATATCATAGCATAGCATGGCGCCGCGGAAAACCCAACTGCGACGATGAGGAGAAGGAGGAGGACGGCGTTTACCGTTACTACTAATATTGCTCTCCTCGGGGCTCCAACTCCTAGGTAGGGTCGCTCTGGGATAATATACACCTTCCGTCCCCATCACCAAGCCGACAACAGCTCAATGGGAAACTACCATCCGACGGCATTATCGCTTCCGACAATGAAGCAACCAACAAGCACGTGCGACCGCACTTAACACCAGAACCACTACCAAGGCTTACCATAAGAAACATCACGTCGTCAAACAACAGATGGCCTTAACCCCAAATGGCCTTTAATAAACCTCCGGGCAATCGTGGGGGGGGAAAAAACAACATACTTTGTCCGCCGGCCTATTGACGGATTGGGACCCCGACAATAGTTGGAAATGAAGTATTCTCGTCGGCGGATGCATGAGAGGTCATGAGAAGTGCTCAAAAATCCCATTGCTCACCGCCTGGCAGCCTCCTCCTCCTCCTCCTCCTCCTCCTCCTCCTCCTCCTCCTCTCCGACACACCACCGCCACCGCTGCTGCGCGCACTCGAACATGCACCGCTGCGCTGCTGCGGCCACCGCTGCTGCGCGCCTGGAGGAGGAGAGACGAGTTTCTATTCCCCGCCGAGAGCTTATGGAGGGGCATCATTAAAGACCCTCTGAGGTTAAAACATTGAAGCGGTCCCTGACGTTGAGAGGTACGCGATGTCATAAAACACTCCACGCCTCCAGTAAAGGCGACCGCCTGTTTCGCCGACGGCTGGTTTCGCCCGGCTGGTTTCGCCCAGCTGGTTTCGCCCGGCTGGTTTCGCCGCCCGGCGAAACCAGCCCGGCGAAACCAGCTCCGTCGGCGAAACAAACTCCGTCGGCGAAACCAGCTGCCGTCGGCAACGCAAGCTGCCGTCGCCGAAACCATCTGCCGTTGCGAAACTGTCCGACCCGAACCACCTGTTAGGGTCCACCCGCCCGACCCGACCCGTCACGGTTCGCGCGTGCTCGGTCGAGCGCGCCCCAGACTTTCTGTCCCGCCCGCCCGACCCGACCAACCCGTTAGGGTCAGCCCGCTCGACCCGACTCGACCGACCCGCCCGGAAGGGTCCGCTCGCCCGACCCGACCCGCCCGTCAGGGTTCGCCCGTGCTCGGTCGAGCGCTAAGGTTCCGCCCGACCCGACCCGACCCGCCCTTTAGAGTCCGCCCGCCCCACCCGACCCGACCCGTCAAGATCCGCCCGCCCTGCCCGACCAGCTAGGGTCCGCCCGCCCGACCCGACCCGTCCGTTCGGGTTCGCGCGCGCTCGGTCGAGCGTGCCTCACACTTTCATGTCCCGCCCACCCGACCCGACCCGCCCGTCAGGGTGTCGAGCGCGCCCACGATGTCGCCCGCCCGACCCGACCCGCCCATAACGGTCCGCCCGCCCCGCCCGATCCGTCTGTTAGGGCTCGCGCGCGCTCGGTCGAGCATGCGCCCGCCCGATCGGACCCGCCCGCTAGGGTACGCCCGCCCGACCCGACCCGCCCGTTAGGGCTCGCGCGTGCTCGGTCGAGCGTGCCCCACACTTTAATGTCCCGCCCGCCCCACCCGACCCGACCCGTCAAGATCCGCCCGCCCTGCCCGACCAGCTAGGGTCCGCCCGCCCGACCCGACCCGTCCGTTCGGGTTCGCGCGCGCTCGGTCGAGCGTGCCCCACACTTTCATGTCCCACCCACCCGACCCGACCCGCCCGTGAGGGTCCGCCCGCCCGACCCCACTCGACCTGACCCGCCCGCTAGGGTACGCCCGCCCGACCCGACCCGCCCGTTAAGGCTCGCGTCGGCGAAACCAGCGCTGGCGAAACCAGCGCCGGCGAAACCAGCCGCCGGCGAAACCAGCGGGGCGAAACCAGCGCCAGCGAAACCAGCGCCGGCGAAACCAGCCGCCGGCGAAACCAGCGGGGCGAAACCAGCGCTGTCGAAACCAGCGCCGACGAACAGCCCATGCGACGACAACCAAGACGACAAACATCGCTAAACCTCAGCTCGGTGCCCACCCGCCAACCCGCAAGACAGCGCGCCATACTTCAGGATGAGAATGGATAGCGGAGGGAATAATGACAAGGAGCAGCAGGCAACAAGCGACGAGTATGAATAGTATGCTGAAGTAAATCGGGACACTCAGGTTGAGACAGAGAAGATGAGAGCAGGGTCGACGTCCTCCTCCTCCTCCTCCTCCTCCTCCTCCTCCATCTCCTCCTGCTCCTCCTCAATCCCGCATCCCCCCCGATTGCCTCCATCCACCCTCCTTAACTCTTCCGCCATTCCTGTCCGGTTCCTTGAGAGAGGGAGGGAAGGAGAAGGGAAAAGAAAAGGAAAGCATGAGAGAGGAGGAGAGGACTGATGAAGATCCCAACTCCCTTCCCCCACTCTTCCCTCGCCCACCCCCCTCCCCGTGCCCCGCCTCCTTACCCTCCCCCTCCTCCCCGGAAGACGGAAAGGGAAGCCTTCGGCAGTACGAGGTAGATCACGGGCCCGCATACGGCGCCTGGCTCGGGCTGGGGTGGGTGGGCGCGGGCCCTCGGGAAGAGGCTGTGTGCGCGCGCTTGCGCGCGCACGACTGGGTGTGTGTGTATGTGTGCGTGTGTGTGTGTGTGGAGAGAGAGAGGGGCCGACCTCCCCCCCCCCACACGCTCGCGTCCCCCTGTCCCCCCACCCGCACCCCCCCCGCCCCCAGAAGGGCCGCGTCGACGACGCCGGCGTCCGGGTACAGCCGCTGCTGCGGAAGCTGGCGGTCCCCAGAAGTGGTGCCGTCGGCGTGGTGGCGTTGGGGTGGGTGGTCGTGAGGAGGTCATCGGGTGCGTGGTGAGTGGTTAGAGGCCTCCTAGATGGGGTCCGAGTAGATGGGGTCAAAGGATCGGCGATACATCGGCGATGCATCGTCGACGTGGGCGATGCATCGGCGACGTCGAGGTAAAGCAAATCGGGCTCCACATCGAGCCGCATCGGCGATGCATCGGCGATGGTGGGCTACTTCGGGCATGTCCCCCTACAGGCGGAATTTTGGGAAAAAACGAATAACCAACAAATGATCAAAACATAATCAAGCAAAAACTCGAAAAACCGTTCCCTGACAATTGTTTGATTCTTCTTGAATAGTCCTTATGTATAGGGACATGCCCGATTTAATCGTAAGGAGGTCGTCGGGTGCGTGGGGAGTGGTGGGGTGGGATGGGGAGGTTTTCACATGGGTGCGTCATGGCGCGTCAGCGAATCGCACGCGACGAATACACCTTCTGTCAGGAGGCTCGTCGGGGGGTATGGGCGCCAGGCATGGCGTCGATGAAGTGCACCCGTCGTGGTCTCTGGTAGGGTTTGTGTAATCCCATCAGCCCTCTGGGCACAGGTCGTCTAAAGCGTTTTACTTTCCAGGTCCTCCCTACCCCGATTCGGGGAGGTTTACTCCCCCCATCCGAGGGGCCTGGACGGGGATGGGCCTTGGGGATGGGAGCGTTCAAAATGGCCCCAGATGCTTTCAAGAGCGCCTGCGAGAGCCCAAGATGGCCTCCAAGACGGCTCTAGATAGTCGAACATGGTTCGAGGCAGCGTCCGACATACCTCCAGGAGGCCCCAAGATGGACTCAAGACGGTCTTAAGTGCTTTCCGAGCTCTCCGAGGTTTCCCCCCAAAGGCTAGTTAAACCATTCAAACACCTAAGGAAAACCACAGTGGGTTGAAGTCTCGCCTTTTCGCCTCCGATGGGCTTCTGGGAACTTGGAGTGGCCCCGGAGTACCCCAATAGGGGCTAAAGATAGCCCCAAGACGGCGCCAAGAGCGCCCAAGAGGGGGCCCCGAGGGGGGGGGGGGCGCTGACTTACGCCGCCTTTTTGTTCAAGCAGTGGGGCCCGAGAAGGCCCTACGAAGGCGCCAGGATCCCCCCAAAATCCCAAATTACCTATCGACGTAACCAACCCTGTCTACACATGCGGCGTCGATACACAGGACCGACCAATACAAACGAACATGTCAAAGGATCCGCAGGAGCCCACGAGAGCGACGACAACTGTGCAGTTCGCAGCTCCCTAGGGAAGCCACGAGTTCAGGACTGGGTGAATTCACAGCTCCACTCCGCTGGGCCTCCCAGGAGCCCACGAGAATTGCGACAATTGCGCACTTCGCAACCAACCAGGGGAGCCGGGAGGTCTCGGCTGGAAAAATGCAACTCCAGTCCCCTGGGCCGCCCAGTAACCCACGAGAATTGCGACAATTGCGCACTTCGCAACCCACCAGGACCCGCGATGTCTCGGCTCGAACACGTTTACAACTCCACTCCCCTGAGCCTCCCAGCAGCCAACGAGAATGGCGACACTTGCACCGGTGACGAGGGCCATGATCGTTGCCTGTTGTTCAAGAGTAGCGTGCGGAGGGGCAGGCTGAATTTGAAGAAAAAAATGAATTCTGAACATTCCTTCTTTTTTCCAATTGCCATGCTTGGGCGGTGTGACAGAAGTCTCCGGGATACAGGCTTTGGTCCAATGGCATGACCCTCGGAGCCTTTCTGGCGGGGTTCTTGCAGGTCTTTCGGGGCCTCTTGGGGAGCTCTTGGTGCCTCCCGGGAGCCCCCCGGTAGTCTCCGCAGGCGTCGGGGGGGTCCCCTATTTTGTCGCATTCTTGACGCGCGCCCTGACGTTCTAGCTAGGCTGGACAGGTGAACTCATGGGATCTCAATTGTTACTGTGGTTTCAGGGGCTGCCAAGGAGGACATGAAGACAACCCAAGAGAGTCTCAAGACAGCGTCAGAGAGTTCAACAGCCTTCCAGAACAATCTGTGCAATGTGATCCCGAAGTCTGGATGGAACCCGAGATGAACTTGAACAAAACAAATCACTGGATCTCAATATTTTCAGGGCCGCTCATTTGTGGTGGAGGTCGTGGCCCCCAGGCCCATGGGCCCGGTCCCCCGTTATATGTATATCACTGCCTTCCTCCATCCAACTTCGCTTCCATCCCATCCCTTCCTCTGCATCTGCTCCATGTGATCCGTCTTTCTTTTCCTATCCCTCCCGCTCGCCCTTCCATCTGGCTCCCCTCCCTCTCCGCCCTCGTCTCCTCCTCTCCCTGTCTCTCCTCATCCCTATCACATTCCCGCTTAATGCGTTGGTTAATCCCCATCACACTAGGTTATCCTTCCATCCATCCCCTCCTCTCCGCATCGCCCCCCCCTCTCTCTCTCTCTCTTCTGGTTCCACCCTCCTCGTCCCGAGGATTGCACATGGCAGTACACTCAGAAAGGCACACTGGCAATAAGTCGGCAAACTCTACATTTTGAAAGGATTCTGGCAGATAGCACGTAACGCATTCAGGCCTGCTAGCATGGCGTCGTTCCAGCGACAGCGGGGTCCAACGCCGATACAAGAAATGCGCGCGATTCTCCGACAATTGGTGCGGTTAAAGTGAGGGCGCGGTAGCAAGAATCGCTCACAAGAAACCCAGCCCTGAAACCTGCAGGCGCGAGATAGAAGTGGGGGGAGCCCAGCAGCACCCTGAACGCAGCAGCTCCTTCAACGGCCACGGGAAGCCACCGCGCACCGCGCGGAGCGAAGAAACCGAGCGTGCCCTGACGAAATCCCACCAGCCCTCTGGGCGTAGGTGGTCTAGAGCAGATCCTCTTCCACCCCTCCCTCTTCCCCCTTGGGGAGGGGTTTACCCCTCCCCCTACCCCCTCCCCTGGACCTGGACGGGGGGGGCCGCGGGTAGTTAGAGCGTCCAAGATGGCCCAAGACGGCTCCAAGAGCGCCTCAGAGAACCCAAGATGAGCTCCAAGATGGCTCAAGATAGCGCAAGATCGCTCACGATGGCTCCTAAGATGGTTCCAAGAAGCCCAAAGACGGCCCCAAGATAACTCCAAGTGGCCAAACAGCTCCCCAAGGAGGCCCCGAAGAGGCCAAAATCGTCCCAAAACCTAAGGAAAATCAATGATTTTTGCTTTCTCGCCTTTTCGCTTCCGATGGCTATCCGAGGCCTGGAGATGGCTCCAAGATGGCCCAAGAGGGCCCCAAGAGAGCCCCAAAAGAGCCCCAAGACGGCCCCAAGAGCGCCCAAGAGCACTCCAAGAGCGTTCCAAGAGGGGTCCAAGAGGCGATTTTAGGGGCTTCCGAGGGGGGACGCTAATTAAACCCCCCCTCTTGTTTGATCGACTCCCTCCAAGATGGCCCCAAAAGCGCCCCGAAGGCTCCCCAGAGCGCCTCAAGAGGGTCCCAAGAGGCGCCCAAGATGCCCCAAGGCGCCCAAAAAGCCCTCCAAGAGGCCCTCAAAAGACCCCCAAGAAGCTCCTTCCCCTCCTCCTCCTCCTCCTCCGATTCTTCCTCCTTCTCCGTCCTCCTCCTCCTCCTCCTCCTCCTCCTCTTCCCCCTCCTCCTCCTCCTCCTCCTCCGACGACGACGACGACGACGACGACCTCTTCCATCCTCCCCCTCTCGGGGTCTGTGACAGCTTCCCCCGCCCTTTGTTATTCTGCATGCTCCCCGACTTCCCTGATCACCTCAACTCCCCTGAGCATCGTTTCTGGATGGGCTGGTGGGGATACGCGAAGCGTCAACAATTCACTCACTTTCTTGATGTGCGCCCCCACTGTTATTTCGTATTCGCTCCTCCTCCTCCTCCTCCTCCTCCTTCTCCCTCCTCCTCCCTCCTCTCATCAGATCTCCGCCCCGACGGAAACAAGCACTGGCCTGCCGCCAGCCAGCCCACGAAGCCCAGGCCAGCGATGCCGAGCGCGAGGCCGCCCTGCGCTGCGGGTGTGGAGGGCCGCTCTCCCCATCGTCCCTCCCGCGGCAAGCTCGCTTTGTGCCGACCCCGGCGCCGGCTGCCGAGGGATCGTTCGGCCTCAAACGATCGGCCGCTTCCGAAACGTCAGTTCGTTCAGTATCGGCCGATGCTGGGTCGCTGGCGGCGCTCAACGTTGAACGCCGCTGGCGGGGTCGCCGCCAGTTGAGACGGCGCGCGAACCTGCCGTACCCTCCTCTTTTACTCCTCTAGAAAACATATACCAAACAAGCTGATATCCTGGATAATGACTCACTCTTCGTACTCTTCGTTGCATTTTCACTCTGAGCATCTTACGAGTCTTGCGATGTCGCAGAACATTCGAATGATCGTTATCCGTTCCATTGCTGCCTTCGCATTGTTGGTAGCACGTTTGCTCCATTGCACCCATGATTTCAGTGATTCGGTCGTTCGTAAGGTTAGGATGGTAGACGGCGTCGTACTGTCTTGATCTCTCAAGAGCTGTCGCGTCTATTGCTCGATCTGGTGTCGCGGGGTTGTGGTGCCGTCTGGGCGTGCGTGGGCGCTGTTGTGAGCCTCGGCAATCGCACGATCTTGGCAAGCATCTGCCCCTTCGTGCGCAATCAGACGGCTTTGAAAGTTTGGTATCGTGCATGTTTGTACTATGGCACTGCGATGGGAGGATGGGGAGGAGGAGGATGGGGAGGAGGGAGGAGTAAACGGACGGGCGAGGAGGAAGAGGGGGGAGGGGCAACAGAAGAGCACGAAGTGGAACCAGTGGGAGGATCGCTCCTCCTCCTCCTTCTCCTCCTCTCGGGGGGGGGGCGAAAAGGTAGGATAACAAAGGGCACGTTAGAGAATCCTTCACGTAGCTGGTTTTCCTGGCGCCTCCTGGCGCCAGGGGGCGCCATGTATTGAAGAAGCGGACTGGCGGCGGAGCGACAACCAGCTGCATGCAGAAAATGTCGCACACCACCTTTCCCCATCCTGCCCTTCATCTGGCCTGGTCCGATCCTTCTGTGCCCCCACCTGTCCCAGCTAATTACCCCCCTCACACCCGTCCCCTTTCCTTGCCATCGGCCCCTGGACCACTTCGGGACCGCGTTCCGACAAAGTCCGCCAGGCGAAGTGGGGCGTGGCAACGCGACCCCCCCCCCCGTGCCAGAGGACAATGAAGGCGAATGGACGCCCACGCCAAAATCCCTCCTACCCCCTCCTTCTCCTCCTCCTCCTCTTCAGATTTGCACTCGTACCTTCACTCGAGCCTCAGGCGGCCGTTTGGGACGAGTCCGGGCACCTCTGAATACAGCAACGCTCCTGAACTCCTCGCTCGTCCTCCGACTCCGCCTCCTCCTCCTGCTGCTGCCTCCACCTCAAGCGCGCGCAGGAAAGCCGAAGAACAGAGGAACAAACGGACACGAGGAGGACAACGACAAAGACCGCACGCCTCCGCCTCCCCGCCCAAGACCCCGCGACGGCGACTGCTCAAACCGCCCACGGCGCTCGACGACGACGACGAGGCCAGAGGCGACGGAGACGACGAGGCGGACGAGAAGACGACGGTGACGACAACCACGGGCCAGGAGGGCGGCAGAGACGACAAAGCGGACGAGAGGACGAAGACGACAACACTATCGACAACGACAACCAAAACGACGACGATTATCTTAAGACTGTTTATCGAGAAAGATCGAACGGGAACCCTTGGCGCCATGTCTGGGCCTCCACCGACTTGCTTGTATGCCAAAAGTTCTCGAGCGAGAGCGCCACTCTTGAGTTCGGGGCCTCTCTGGCAAGGGCCTTTGTGAATACATCTTGAACGAGAGCCCTTGTCGTCGTGGTTGGGCCTCCACCAATTTGACTGAATCGCGAGAGAGTCTCGAGCGAGAGCGCCGTTCCTGAGTTCAGGGGCCTCTCTGGCCAGGGGCTCTCGGAGTAAATCGTGAGGGGGTATCGAGTAGGAGCCCTTGTCGTCGTGGTTGGGCGTCCACCAATTTGACTGAATCGCGAGAGAGTCTCGAGCGAGAGCGCCGTTCCTGAGTTCAGGGGCCTCTCTGGCCAGGGGCTCTCGGAGTAAATCGTGAGGGAGTATCGAGTAGGAGCCCTTGTCGTCGTGTCTGGGCCTCCACCAACTTGAATGAATTAGGAGGAAGTCTCGATCGATAGCGCCGTTCCTGAGGTCAGGGGCCTCTCTGGCCAGGGTGTCTCGGGGTAAACTGTGAGGAAGTATCGAGCGGGAGCCGTTGTCGTTGTAGCCGTGCCTCCAAGGGCACACAGTTAAACTCAAGCCAACGCTCGCGCGGGAGCCTCGTTGTCAGAGAACATGTAGCCGGCGTCGCGACGAGAGCGCGCGGAACCGTTTCCGGAGATCAGCAATAATGATTCTCTAGAAATGAAGATTCGACGACATGGCGACGACGACACGGCGACGACGACATGACGACAACATGACGACGCCAAACGGCCGACTGCGGCGACGGCGGCGGCGGCGGGGGCGGCGGCGGCGGCAGCAACGACGACGACGACGGCGACGAGGCCGACGGCGCCGACGACGCCGACGGCGCTGGCAGGGGCGCGTGCCCGGTCCTGCAGCAGGCACAGCGCCAGTGCCCGCACCAGCCCGCCCTGCGGGGCGGCGTCTGGCGGCGGCGGGCACCACGAACGCGGCCGACACGCGGCCGACTGGCGGCCGGCGAAAGCCGCGCGGCACCGACAGGCCTCAAATAGGGCACGGGCAGACCTCAGGGAGGGCCGAGGAGCCGGTAGGGGGACCAGAGTGGTGTCACGGTGCGATCGGCTCGGGGCACGACCCAGGAGTGGTGCATCCAGCGGCCCTCGCTGCTGGAGCCCGTGCGGAGCAACAGGAGATCCTGGCGGTCCAGGTGATCTGTGAACTCCAGGGACTTGTCTAGGGGGAACGAACGATGCCATCAGCATAAAACCTCGGAGATACGCCAGGATTTCTCGGATCGGCGCTCGACCCCTCTCCCTGGCGCGCGGAGCGCGCCAGGGGCGGCGCCGGAGGCGCCGCTAGGGGGTGTCCAACGCGGATCCAAGAAATCCGCGCGGACCGCCGAGTTTTCATGTTTATGTCCCCGCTCCTTCCCCTAATACCATCATTTTGATTTTGATTTCTCTGACCAAAGTCAACATGATGGTATTCGGTAACCAATCACAATAATGGTTTCCCGGACCAAAATCAAAATGATGGCCGCCTGGCATCTGGGAGCACGAGGAGCAGTGGGGGGCGCGGAGGCAGGGGAGCAGGACGGGCCCGAGCCCTGCGCGCCATGGGGCCCCCGGGCCACCTTCTGCCGTGGACGGCGGGGCCCACGAGGCAGAGGAGCACCGCCCCTGGGGGTGCCGCTGTGAGTTCGACGGAGAGCGATCGCCCGCTCGGGATGTTCACCGAACGGCAAGGCCACTGGAGGGGGGGGGCAGTCTCAGGGGAACCAACAAACACAAAAACTCGGAACGCCGCGCGGATCTCTCGGATCGGCGCCGGACCCCCATCCCTGGCGCGCCAGGGTGGTTCCAGCGCGGATCCGAGAAATCTACGCGGACCTCCGAGTTTTCATGTTCATGTCCTTGCTCGTTCCCGTAATGGTCGGCTCGACTCGGCTGTTGAGCCATACCGTGACAGTTTTTAATACATGGGATGTTTAAAATTATCCCAGTGCGACACTACCTAGGAGTTGGAGCCCCTAGGAAAGCAGCATAGTAGTACCAGTAAAGCTAAGCTAAAGCTAAGCTAAAACTAAGCTAAAGCTAAGCTGAAGCTAAGCTGAAGCTAAGCTAAAGCTAAACTGAAGCTAAGCTGAAGCTAAGCTAAAGCTAAGCTAAAGCTAAGCTAAGGTTAAGCTAACACTAAGCTAAAGCTAAGCTAAGTCTAAACTGAAGATAAGCTGAAGCTAAGCTAAAGCTAAGCTAAAGCTCAGCTAAGTCTAAAGCTAAATATAAGCGAAAGCTAAGCTAAAGCTAAGCTAAAGCTAAGCTGAAGCTGAGCGAAAGCTAAGCTAAAGCTAAGCTAAGGCTAAGCTAAAGCTAAGCTAAAGCTAAGCTGAAGCTAAGCTGAAGCTAAGCTAAAGCTAAGCTAAAGCTAAGCTAAAGCTAAGCTGAAGCTGAGCTAAAGCTGAGCTAAAGCTAAGCTGAATCTAAGCTAAAGCTAGGCTAAAGCTAAGCTAACACTAAACTGAAGCGAAGCTAAAGCGAAGCTAAAGCTAAGCTAAAGCTAAGCTAACACTAAGCTAAAGCTAAGCTAAAGCTAAGCTAAAGCTAAGCTGAAGCTAAGCTAAAGCTAAGCTAACACAAAGCTGAAGCTAAGCTAAAGCTAATAAGCTAAAACTATACTAAAGCTAAGCTAAAGCTAAGCTAACACTAAGCTGAAGCTAAGCTAAAGCTAAGCTAAAGCTAAGCTAAAGCTAAGCTAAAGCTAAGCTAAAGCTAAGCTAAAGCTAAGCTAAGGCTAAGCTAACACTAAGCTAAAGCTAAGCTAAAGCTAAGCTAAAGCTAAAGCTAAGCTAAAGCTAAGCTAACACTAAACTGAAGCGAAGCTAAAGCGAAGCTAAAGCTAAGCTAAAGCTAAGCTGACACTAAGCTAAAGCTAAGCTAAAGCTAAATATAAGATAAAGCTAAAGCTCAGGCTAAAGCTCCCAGGGGACTGGGGGAACCGCGGGGCGGGGACTGGGGGAACCGCCCGGGGCGGTTTCCATTGCCCGGCCCTTTAAGCAAAGAGAGTAAGAACCCTTCTAGGCAGAGCCTAGGTAGGGAAATACTGTTTTTAATACATGATTGATTTACGGATGAATGTATGCATGAACTCATCGTTGTTTTTAGTACTAAATCCTTATATGTTTGATACATGACCCGCACGCGGAGCATGTATTAAAAACGGCACTGTGACACAATCAGTGATGTCATCATCTGCACTCTGCCCACTGCCAACATTGGGCGTCCCGAAGCGGTGCGGCGACAGACCGTGCGGTGACCTCGAAAAATCCCCCAAGACCTCACCGCACGGTCCGTCACCGCACGGTCTCGGGGCCTCGGAGGCCCCCGTCGCCCGAGACGTCCTCGGAGAACGACCCGAGTCCTGAGACCGTGCGGTGGCCTCGAACCCCCACCGACACACCACACCGTTCGGGGGCCCACTGCCCACAGCCTGACCGCCACCTGCCCGCACCGGGGCCGCCACCACCGAGAGGGCGACGCCTGCTGCGGCGCGGGGGACTTGCCGTCGCTCGGACGTCCATTTCCCATGCATTTGTCGGTTTCGTGCGTGTTATTTTTGCTCGATGGTCCAGGGTGGTCCTCGATGGTTCTCGCCGAGAAAAAATGCACACGTCCGAGCGATGCCAAGGGGAGGGAGGCGCTGGCCTCGGCAGGGAGAAGGGTGCGGGCCCTCGAGGCTGGCCAGCTGCCCGGGAAAGACCACGTCGCGGGGTGCGCGCGCACTCGAGGCCACAGCATACTCATCGACAGGGGGCGGCCCCAGGTATGGCACACGACGAACGAACAACACGCACCCATACCCATAGGGGGGTCGTTGGGAGGAGGACTGGCTGTGGGTATGGGTGCGGGTTGTCGGGCCCTGGGGAACCCTCCCGTTGGAGCGGGGACCCCTATCCGACAACAGGCACCCATAGCCCTCTCCGATCCCCCTATGGGTATGGGTGTGTATTGTTGGTTCGTCAGCACAGGGCTCCCGCCAAGAGCCCGAGACACTGGCACCGCCAACTCCGTTGCCGCCCCCCGTGGAAGCCGCAGGTGGGCCACGGTGGAGCGGGAAAAGGTCCCTGCGGATCCTGGAGAGGCTACCATGGCCGCCCTTGGTTGGGCCCCTCCCTCCAGCACGTTCGTTGGCGATACGGCGTCCATCAGACGTCGCCGTGCAACTTCAGACAGACCAAAGCTCAAGAGCGTGGAACCCGGCAGATCCCCAGACTCCGTCCGAATGGGACTCCGTCCAAACAGCTTTGGAACCCGGCGGACCAGGAGGAGGAGGACCAGGAGGAGGAGGAGGAGGAGGAGGAGGAGGAGGAGGAGGAGGAGGAGGAGGAGGGAGGAGGGAGGAGGGAGGAGGGAGGGAGGGAGGGAGGAGGGAGGAGGGAGGAGGGAGGCACGCGCTCGGGGGCCACCGTCGGCGCCCCTCTCGGGGCGCAGGCCCTCCAGAGATCCCAGCAAGAAACTCAACCTACAGCCGGTGGCTTGCACGAGTGGCCCACGCGTTCGGTGGCAACGAATGGGAGCCTCCCATACTGCAGGTCCGTGCCGTGTCGACCCTGGCGTTGGTTCCTGACACCGCAGGGATCGTTCAACCTTGAACGATCGGCCGTCTCCGCAACGTCCGATCGTTCAACATCGATCGATTCTGGGCCGCCAGCGGCGTTCAACCTTGAACGTCGGCGGCGGGGTCGCCGCCGGTCGACACGACGCGAACCTACCGTACACGAGTGGCCCACGCGTTCGGTGGCAACGAATGGGAGCCTCCCATACCATCCTGTCGGCTCTTGCGAATCGATGCTGAATCGACGCGAGTTGACGCCACAGCGGCGCTAGATGACGCTACATCGGCGCTATCTCATCGACTTCAGACGCTATTCGACGCTGATAGACGCTCGCCGAACACGTGTGTGCTCCAAGGCCAGACAAAACGCGAGCAGCTCAGCGCGAAGCACCCTCTGTCACCTGCCTGGGAGCGCAGCTGCCACCCCACAGAGAGGCTGCCAAAACAATGGGTCGTCAAGCACTTGAACCATGTACACGGCAGCGGCACCACACCTCCGCCTTCTGGGGTCGGGGGAGAATCCCCTCCGAACCGTCTCCGAAAGCGTGCAGCTGGTAGCCCTCGAGGGCCACCCTCTGGTCCGAGAGTCTGACCTCCTCTAGAAGGACCGCGTGACCGACATCTTCGCACCCAGGGAACACAGGGACCGTGCGCTCCTTCCGAGGGACCCCCCTGAGCCACAAAGCTGGCTCCGCTTCGTGAGCGTCAACGCCTGCGGGAGGAAGGACCCGTGTTGGCATCGCACGTCCAAGCACGGTGGAAACGGCACTCCGGCACGCGACGGCAGCAGGGACAGAGGTCAGGACAGTCATTCCCTGCAGCAGGGCAATAATCCCACCAGCCCTCTGGGCGTAGGTGATCTAAAGATACCGTTCTCTTCTCTTTCAAAGAGGGATACCCTCCCCCTCACCTCCCAGGGGTCTGGACGGGAGGGTCGCGAGTCATCAGAGGGCCCTTTTTCGCCGAAGATGGCTCCAAGAGGGCATCCGATGCTCCAAGATGGCCTCGAAGAGGGCTCCAGATAACGCAAGATGGCTCAAGATTGCCTCCACCACGCCTCCAAGACGCCGCAGGAGGGCCACAAGACGGTTCCAGGTGCCCTCAAAGACCCTTCATGACCTCCCCGACAAGCCAAAATCCTTCAAACACCTAGGTAAATTCAATTCGTTTTGCGTTGCCTTCTCACCTCTTCGCTCCCGATGAGAATTTGAAGCGTCAAGACGTCACCCAGATGGCTCAAGAGAGCTCCAAGACCACCCAAGAGCGCCCCAAATGGGGGCCACGAGCGTCTCAAGATGCGATTTTGATGGCCCAAACGGGGGGACTAAACGTTAGAACCCCCCTCTGTTGACCGACTCCCTCCACCAGGGCCCCAAGAGGCCCTCCAGGGCTCCCAAGAGGCCTCCAGGAGAGCCCCAAGAGAGCTCCGAAGGGGGTTCCAAGAGGGCCCCAAAAGCGCCCCGAGACCCCCAAAAAGAGCTCAAAGAGAACTCCAAAACCCCTTTTAAAAAACCCTAGGAGGGCACCGAACCCATCTCGTCCTCGTCGTCGTCCTCGTCTCCGTTATTGTCCTCGATATATCGTCCTCGTCGTCCGCGTGCCCCTCATCATCATCGTTTTCCTCCTCGTCCTAATCCGCATCTGCATAAGATGGATCCATGGGTCCTCGACGCCGCTGTCCTCTTCCTCCCCCTCGTTTTCGTCCTTGCCCTCATCGTCATCCTGTTCCTGTTCCTCCTTTTCCTGATCGTCGTGGTCGTCGTCGTCGTCGTTTTCCTCCTCCTCCTCCTCCTCCTCCTCCTCCTCCTCCTCCTCTCCTCCTCCTCCTCCTCCTCCTCCCCTCGCCCCCACGTGGCCCCCAAGATTGGCCCATTCACTAGACGTGTCTCTCTGACTGGGCTGGTGAGGATTTTTGATCGCGACCGCGGCGGAGAAAGGTCGGGCGGCGTCAAGGGAATTGCAAACTAGCAGCGGCCAAAATTAGCGCAGAGAAAGGAAGGCGACAGGAAAAGAGCAAGAACGAGACGGCGGAAGAGACACAGGCTGGTGGGGATACATTTTTGGTCAGCGGCCGCGGGCGAGCGCGCCGGCGGCGAGACAGGTCAAAGCGGGCTACGCAGAGACTAACTAGGCAGAGGAAACGCGAGAATATTAAAGCTGAGGCTACGCGCGAGGCAGCTACGCGCCGGCCGAAGCCTCAGGTGGGTGGCTGAAGGGACTGAGACTGAGGGGAACTGCCAGTGTGCAAAGCCGCAAGTCCATCGGATGCGCCATAAATCGGAAAGTCAACGACGAACAGGGACAGCTCCGAGAGAGAAAGACCGGTAGGGACATTTTGTTTAGTCAGCGGCCGCGGGCGAGCGCGCCGGCGGCGCGTCAGGTCAAAGCGGGCTACGCAGAGACTAACTAGGCAACGGAAACGCGGGAAAACGAGAACAGAGCAACGCGCGAGGCGACGGCTAACCGCGGCCGAGGCCTCAGGTGGGTGGCTGAAGGGACAGAGACTGATAGGAACTGCCAGCGCGCAAAGCTGCAATTCCGTCGGAGGCGCCAAACGTCGGAAAGTCAACGACGGCCAGGGACAACTCCGAGAGATAAAACGCGATACCGTACCTCAGACGACTGCGTGGGCACCAGGGTGGCCGTGGGACTGGTGGGGATATGCGAACCGTGACAATTTTCCTGCAGTCACTTTTCTCCCGACACCACCGGCAAGTGAGCTGAACACATAACCATATCTCCACGTTTGGCAAAACGGTCGAGTCTCCTAGAAATCAGCAGCGCGTCAACTCCCTCCGCACAGGTCGTTGCCTGCCGTGTGCTGGGAAGCCGTTTCCCGAAGCCAAGTCCTGGAGTCCTCTCAAAAAGGCAGAGCAAATCACTGAAGTCGGCAGCGACAAGAGCAGAAAAAAACCCGAACTCAGGCCACCTCCACTCCTCGGGCCCATCGGGACCCGACCGAAGCCAGACGTTGGCAGAGCGGGTTTCCCAACTTGCCTGGATCAGGGTGGCCTGGACAGCAGGCATCGGGACCTTGACCTGCCGTCAACGAACAGGCTGGTTGGTATATTGCGGCAGCGGCGCCCTTACCTTATGCCAGGCATTGCGAACCTTGGGCTGCAAGGCAGGCTGCGAAATCTGAAAGGGAATCCATGATTTCAAAACTAATACACACACGCAAATCGATACCCGAGTCAGCTTCCCCCAGGGTAGCTGGGAGAAAAGAGGTGAGACATCGACCCTTCTGAATGCCAGCCAGAGCAGCAACACCTCATCTACGCTCCATAACCTGTGCTCCAAATGTCCCCAACAGCTGGTGCCCAAAGACAGCAGAAGGCTACTGAACCTGATGCAATAAAAAGGCCCCAATCCTCAATCACGCCGAGCACGGATCCCCCTTATCTACCGTCTTGCCATACAGTGGAGGCCAGTCCACAAGACACCTTCCACAAGAAACCCAACCCTGAGAAACCAGAACGTCCACTGAATTTTGGCGTGGGAACGTCGTGCTTTCCATAACAATGCCATCGAAACTCTGGAGGCGAGCGAACTTTTGGCATGGGTCTCCACTGTAAACTCTGCGACGTCCACCCGCAGCAACAGTGCCCAGGTCTTCCACCGAATCAGCGACCGTCACTGGTATCCTATCCTGAGCTTCCACAACTTCGTGTCCACAATCACGACCGATGCTGTCACTCGACGCCGTCAGCTCAGTTTTGTCACGAGAGGCCGCCTAGATGGGGTCGGAGTAGATGGGGTCGGAGGATCGCGCCGCATCGCCGATACAGCGGCGATGCATCGACCATGCATGGGTGATGCCCCCGCGATGCATCGTCGACGTCGGCGATGCATCGGCGACGACGACGCGAAGCAAATCGGGTCCCACATCGAGCCGCATCGGCGATGCATCGGCGATGCGGCGTGATCCTCCGACCCCCATCTGCTCCGACCCCACCTGGGAGGCCTAGAGTCACGACTCGCCATCGCTCGGACGTCCATTCCCTGTGTTTTTGTTGGGTTTCGTGCGTGGTTTTTTCGCCAAATGATCAAGGATGCTCCTCGATGGTTCTCGCCGAAGAAAAAAATGCACACGTCCGAGCGATGCCAGGACGAAGGGGGGGGGAGAGGGAGAGAGGGGGGGGAGGGAGAGGGGGGGGGGGGGAGGACTCCTGACCCCTTTCCAGGGGGCAGGCTTGCGTCCCAGGTCCGTGGTGGCTGGCCCCGGCCCCGAAGGTGCCCCCCCCCCTGGTGGGGATGCCGAAGTCGAAGCGAGGAGATGCGCCGGGGAATGACAGACACAAGCCTCCAAGGGGAGATGGGGGATGACGAGGACGGTGACGCGACGACCACGACGACGACAAGCGCCCTCCCTGGAGGAGGAGGAGGAGGAGGAGGAGGAGGAGGAGGAGGAGGAGGAGGAGGAGGAGGAGGAGGAGGAGGAGGAGGAGGAGGAGCAGGAGGAGCAGGAGGAGGGAGAAAGATGAAGGAGGAGGATGGCGGAGCTGCTCGAGCCTCCGACTGCGATGCTCGAGTGATGGTGCAAGGGGAGGGGGGGGGAGGGGCGAGGGCTAGCTGGATACGGCATTGAGGCGGTCCTCGTGCCAAGACGAATGAACGAACAGACGCTCGGATGGACCTTGTGTCCGGTGAGACAGGGCAGCGGTCGCAGCAGGAGGAAGGGAGGGAGAAACTGTGCAAGACTGTGCAGGACCAGCCACTCCTGAGTCCGTGAATGCCAGGATGGATCGATTAGGGGGGGGCGCAATTGGATATCATGCGAACGACTTCTGACTTCGCTGCTAGAGCTGCTCGGGCCACCGACTGCGCTGCTCGAGGGTTGGAGCACGAGGAGGGAGGAGAGGGAAAGGGGGAGGGGGTGTGAGGGGGGGAGGGCTGCCTGAATACGGCGTTGTGGCGGGGAGGGAAAGAAGGACAGTCTATGCAAAACGATGCAAGACTGGCCACTCCTGATGCCGTGGATGCAAGGGTGCATTGGCTGGCTGGGGCGCGATCGGACATCAAGCGAACGATTTCTGACTCCGATGCTCGAGCAGCTCGGGCCTCTGGCTGCGATGCTCGAGGGATGGAGCAAGAGAAGGGAGGAGGGATGGAGGGTTGGAGGGCTAGCTGGATACGGCATTCAAGCGGGAGGGAAGGAGGAAAGGAATACGCAAGACTATGCAGGAACAGCCATTCCTGATTCACTGAATGCAAAAAGCCCTTCAAATTGCCCGCGGGGTGGCGGCGCAGCCTTTGCCACTCCTCCCCGAGGGGGAACACCCCAGTGAAGTCAACCTGGCCAGAAGATGGAAAGGGCCCTGCGCCACGGGCGCCCCCAGCGGCCCCAGCAACCCCCACCACGTAAGGGGGAGGGGTGCATGTCGGGAAAGGGAAAGGGAGAGCGACGATTAAGTCGGGCATGTCCCTCTGCAGGAGGAGTGCTCAAGAATAGTAAAACAACGATAGTGACGATTGCTCATGTTTTGCATCCACTGTTCCTCCAAAATCCGCCTGTTGGACGACACGCCCGACCTCAACCGACGACGACGCCCTCCCAGAGCAACGGGGCCCGCGCGGCGGCGGGGGCCTCCTCGAGCGTGCCGGTGCAGTCGACGGGCGGCTCCTGCCCAGCCGAGCATGGGAAGGGTCCGAAAGAGGCCGTCATCGTAGTCGTCGCCGCCGCCGCCGCCGTCGTCGTCGTAGTCGGCGTCGTCATCGTCGTCATCGTCTCCGTCGTCGTCGTCGTCGTCGTCCTCGCACTTGTTCTCTTTCCTTCTCCTCCTCCTCATCCTCCTCCTCTTTCTCCTCCTCCCCCGCCTCATCCTCCTCCTCCTCCTCCTCCCCTTCCTCCTCCTCCTCCTCCTCCTCCTGTTGAAGCAATTGAACGCCTCCTTATTCCCCCTACTTCCTCGACAGCGGGTTGCGCAGCATCCTCGCGGCAGCAGTGGGCAAGACGACGAGGAGACAACTGAAGAAGAAACAGACAGCCCACCCCACCCCTCAAGATCTGAAAATGCCAGGATGCCAGGAGGAGGAGGAGGCATCCCCCTCCGCCTCCTCCCCCGTCCCTTCTCCAACACCGTGCTCCCCATCCCCCCGCGAAGCCCCCAAGAGTCCCCCGCGAAGGCCACGAGAAACCTCAGGAGGCCTGAAGAGGTCCCCAGGAGGCCCCAACACGGCAGTGGCCCTGAGGAGGCCCCCAAGAGGCCCCCAACGAGGCCCATTGGAGAGCCAAAGGATCGGGAGCGGCCAAGAGGGGGGTGTCTAAGAGGGGGGGGGGAGGGGGGGGGCAAATAATGACCGGCGGCATGTGCGCGGCCCAGCGGGGGGGCCAGGGACGTAATGAAATAAGAAGAGGCGCCATGAGATCTGGGGAAATATCATGGCCCCCGCCATGATATCCACCCCCCCCTAGTCATCACCCCCCTGTTTTCCGCCCCAGAAAGGAGGCACCCAAGAGTCGAAGGACCCTCCCCCCCCCCCGGGAGGCTCCAAAAGGACGCCAAGGAGTCCCCAAGACGCCTCCTTCTCCCCTTCCTCCCTGCTTTGCTTCTCCTACTCTTCTCCTGGTCCCCCCACACAAGGCCTTTCCCGTTCACGGATTTCCACAACAGGTTGGCGAACACACCGTGCATCAACTTGGCGAAATTCTGAACAAACATCTGCTCACACAGACGCCTCCGGAAGCGAGGGGGCGGCGGTCGTCCGCCGTCGGCATCTTCGATAAGTATCGAAGTGAGGGCGTCAGGCGGCATTACACTGCCCGTGGGTACGTGTCTGGGATGCGGCTCCGCAATACGGGTCGATAGGTCCTTATCGTCACCGTCGCTCCACGATAGAACGTGCGAGCAAACCACCACTGCGAACAATCGTCTGGGCCTAGATCAGATCAGGTGGGGGAGGCCATGGACCCTTGGAAAATACAAAAAACAGCTTGACACGTCGACAATAGAAGCCAATCCAGAAGGAGAAAGGAAGAAAAATGCCGGCGAATTGCTCTCGTGAGTCGGTCGTGTGCAAATACGATTGAACCCATCATAGCCACGTGAAATCGTTAGGCTGACCTTTTGCACTGGTTGCTGTTGGCGCTGTGTGCAGGTCCGTCGTCGCTCACAGCTTTCGCTGGCCGCCTTGTTGTCGCTTGTCCTCGCTGTCGTGCATTTCCCCCCCCGGTGCCAGCGTCGTGCTCTCCACGTGCACGCTGTGTGCCCGTGGCTGGCAAATCGCGAAGCCATGCGCAAACCCGTCTGCCTGATCCCGGGGTGTTTCGTGGCATGCGTTGCGCGCCGCAGAGCACGCCGAACGCAGTCGACCCATGACCCCATGTCCATCTCAATGTCCACATTTGCGGTGACGTCGTCGACGTCGTTGCGCTTATTCCGAACTGCAACTGTGTCGTGTGATGACTGGTCGTTGTCCGCGTCATCGCTGGTGCTGCCAACGCTGAAAGCATTGCCTGGAGTTTAGTTTTTCGTGCCGTCAGCAGACTTGGTCTCGTGGCTTCAGCGGGGTCCGCGTGGCGGACGATGCGTCGGGGGGGTGTCCCATTGATTATTCGGAACATACGTCGCTGTGCCTGGCGCAACGCTTGTCGAAGAGGTTATGTGAACGCCCACGTCTCTGCTCTGTAGAGAATTGTCGGGGCTCCTGTTGTTGAAAAACCAGATTTGGCGCGCGATTGGGCAATGCTTGCCAAATTCGGCGCGCCATTGGGCAATGCTTGCTGGTCAACTCCTGCTCCGTGAAGCGAACGACGCCCATGCAGATCTGGTGCGGTGGTGGATCTGAAACTGCCTTCGTGCGGAAGGATTTCGAAGGCGCGCGAGCTCGCTCTGCGGGTCCGCTTCGTCTGGATGCTCACTATGTTGGTTCTGGAAGGGTGCAGCTCGAGTCTGTGGGATTGTGCTGTGCGCGCGATGTCGTCGAACATCGCCGGAGGCTGCGAAAGAGTGTGCCTGGTCAGGAGCACGTCTTCGGCGAAGCGAAGGCTGGTGAGCGCGGTGGTGGTGGTGAACCACAGCTGAACCCCCTCCCCCTTCTTCTGACATTCGGCGATCAACGGCCCAACGCTGTGCAGCAGAGGAGAGTTTAGAAGGAAGGAGCTGAGCGGGTCACCTTGATCCGTGCCCTGTCAACAAAAACTGAATTTATGGTTACGTCAGTCCTGACTGTTGCCACCTGTCCCTCGTTCAACTCTGCCGCAGTCGTGGAATGCATCCTGGCTGCACGCCTTGCGCTGGGAGTGCAGACACATATGCTCATGAGTTCGACTGTGTCCAAAGCAATTGGAAACACACAGTGCTGCAACCAACAGGCTCTTTGTGCGCGCGCTCTCGGGGGATGTGACATGCGAACAACTGGTCAGTGGTCAAATGCTCTAGTCTACAGCCTGCTTGGACTGCTGTCTGTCGAGAGCTCAGTGCTAGCTGGAGTCGGTTGTATAAAGTCTGCTGAAGAGCTTGCGAAAAGAGCCAGTTTCGAGCAAATGGGGCGGTCATTTTGATGACATGCGAAATCTCACGTCTTGGGGATCACCGTGACAGCGGTGCTTTTCCAGCTGGCTGGCGAATGATGGGGTGCAAACGTGTGTTCATCCTGCCCCACGGCCGACCCACCCCCACCCAGGCCGCGATGAATCCGCCACCGCATGCCAGATTACAACACATCTCACTGGAGAAGTTCATGACTGACCGATGTGTAGCATCGCGAAACATATGGCATCGCAGCAGCGAAGCCTACCATCGCATGGTATAGCGTTGCAGGTGCCATGTGTCTTGCCATCGCATCGCTAAACACAGGGCAACACATAGCACATTCACATTGCAGGGCGTGACAAAGAACCGCATTGTAAAGCTTGGAGCAGCACAACACTGCTTACATCATGACAACGCAGATCATGGCATGGCGTTGCGTGTGGGAAGCCAACGGGCCATGCCACCACTACTCCCTGGACCTCTCCTGGGATGCGTTCTGCTGATGAGTCCGAGGCGCATCCAGCAGTGGCGCCGAGGGCCTCCCAGGAGGCCAGAGAAAGGGGAGACGGGCGAAGGGTGGCAGTACCGGTACCGTTTCCTCCTCCTTTCTCTATTTTCACGTCTGGTTGCCATACGTGCCCCTGTCTGTAGTCAACCGCCTTTCTCTATTTTCACGTCTGGTTGCCATACGTGCAGTCTTGCCCACGCGTTTGCAGGACGCAAGGCTTCAGTCAGTCAGTCAGTTCCTCCTCTGAGCATGGATGGCATCGCACAGCGTGGCGACCAAGACCCCGGACACCGATGCCTGGGCGCCCCAGACGACACCAGGGGCCCGCGCGCCTGGTCGAGTATGCCAGCCCAACAGAAGGACCCAGCGCCCCGAGCGTCCCCGATGACGAGGGGCAGGGGCAGTCCTGGCCACCGACAAGACATCCTCAAGAGACCCGAAGAAGCATCCACGAGGCCTCCAAAGCGGCTCCCAAGATGGCTCCAACCTGCCTCCGAGAGGCCCCCGAGAGGCCTCACACCAGATTCCAAGGCATGTCAACCAATAGGCTCCATACCCACTGCCAAGACACGGTGGCAGGGTGGGCCGAAGGCCATTCATACCCCTGTCTAGTTTGGGCGAGTGCGTAAACGTAGTCTCTTGCGCGTGAGAAGAATCACCCGTCCCCCTGACCCAAATATGCATGCCTTGTGCACTCGGCTCCTTCAACATGTTCTTTCACTCTGCGCAGGCTGCCAGAAACCGTTCCAGAACGCTGATTGCACTTTGTTCCATGGGCACTGGTGTAGCGTTCCTGGGTATGGACGAGATTCTTCATGATGCAGCTCCTTTCGCTCGTGCTGGAGCTCGTCGTGGGTTGATTTGAATATCATGCGTGGACCTACCCCATCGTCAGGGTGTACCACTTCATCAGTTTCTCCCTTCCATCGTATGGCGACAGGCCGCTGCACCACCATCGGCAGGGGGCCTGGGAGGACGCACTCCGGAGGAGGATGCATCGAAGCACGTGCTGTCGGAGGTCCTCAGAAAAGCGGGCGAATCACACCGTCTGTCAGGCGTTGCTCAGTGGAGAGGCTATAGAAAGGCGGTTGAAGAAAGGTGGACGTTTGGTCCCCCTTCGGTCCCCTCTGGGCCCTTCTACTACATGCCCGAATCCGGTGAGCCAAGGGTGCTGCGAGGTCAGCGTTGGGTCGGGCATGTCCTCCTACAGGCAGATTTTGGGCGAAAGTTCAAAGATTTCCAAAAATATGCAAAAAGAATCACAAGAGATAGAAACATCGTCCCCAGACTATTTTGTTCTTCCTATTCTTGAATGATCCTCCGGTAGAGGGACATGCCCGCGGATGGGGACCTGGGTCGCTCTGCGAGGAGGCCTCGAGCGCGCCGAGGGGCGGCTCGGGCAACGCGCTGGCAGGCAGACGAGAACTGCCGCGAGAGGCTGGGTGCAGGTGGCAAGACCGGGAGGAAACTGTTTTGTGGGTCCGGCGATCACCCGGGTCATCGGGCTTGCCCCTCCCCTCCCCTCCCCCAGAATAACCGAACCTTGCCCGTTGTGCAGGTCCGGGGTGGGGGGGCGCGGGCAGATGCAGGGTTGCCCACAGCGCGAAGGCTAGGTTTTCGGCTGGCCCCCTCCCCCCCACCCACCCACGGATAACCCGTGTCATCGCCGATTCAAAAAACGGTCTCCAGGGGGGCGCCGACCCTCTAAAATACAGTAGATTCGTGTCGTGCCGACCCTGGCGCTGGCTTCTGACGCCACGGGGATCGTTCAACCTTGCACGATCGGCAGTCTCCGAAACGCCAAATCGTTCGGCATCGACAAATTCTGGGTCGCCGGCGGCGTTCAACGTTGAACGCCGGCGGCGGGTGCCGCCGGTCAGCACGGCGCGAACCAATGGTAAGATCGTCCTTTTGCTCTCTCGATCTAAAACACAGGCAGGACGAAAATAACATCGGGTGAGGATAAAACGAGAATCTCTGAGATCTGACGGTTTGGAGGATGTATCGGGCGCCGCGGCCTTTTTCAGAGTGTTCTGGCACGCTCTGACGATGTGAGAACGTTGCGAAATGCTCTGGAACGGATTTATCGTCGCCCGAACCCCGTCCGAAATCTCCCGGTCTTCTGACCGGGTTCTTGTAGGTGCCGGTGTGACCTGAGGCTCGAAACCGTCCCAATCCGAAACGATCAGATGCGCCTCCTTCCCACCCAAAACACGCAGGGAGTATGGGACGATTTGGTGAGCATAGGCCACGACACAAAAAGGAAGTATTAAGATATTCGTCCAAATCCTTTGGCGGGTAGTCGTTGGCGTGGGCGACCGCGAACAGGAGAAGCAACGCCACCTTAGTCATGGGGCAAAACAACTGTGCCCGTGAGCTCCTCGAAACTACGACTGCCTAAGACCTGGCCCAAAACTCTGGCAGAGCCACCTTGCCCACGTTGGAACGCATACGTTTCAGCGCATGCGGGCAATAACCAACCATGGCAACAAAATATGTTCAAGGTCATGATGCTCGGAACGAATCTCTTAAGAACCCACTCCCCGTTATCAACACCGTTTACACACATATAAATGTATATACATTATCTTTAGCACCAGGCCAAGCAGCAAACAACAACTCCGTCCACCCCACGCTCGGTTTCGAAATCTAACTATCGCCACAGCGCCGCGCGCATTCGCTCCCTTAAACGTGCGCGAATTGCACGGATGGACGGCTGCCTTTTGTGTTTTGTATGTTTAACTCCCGCCTTGGCGCCGCGCGCATACACTTTAAACATTGAACGAACTTCGCGGAAGGAGGACGACTCGGCTTCAAAATCTAGCTTTCGCCTTAGCGCCGCGCGCATTGATATTTACAAAGAAGACGTGCACGAGTTTCACGGATTGAAGGCGGCTCGGCTTCAATATAACATCTAAAAGGCTCCACTGCTGTTCTGTCTCGCGTTCGGAGCCTACTCGCCGCACAAGGTTCGCCAGCTGGCGGCAACTTGCAGTCGAGGGAAGGTTGGTGATGGATCGCGGGTGCCGTCTCGTTTGCTCCGTGGCCTGCACCCGCTGCGGAACACTCCAGTTTCGCGCGCCGAACCTGACGAGGAAGGCTGGGCGCCAAGCGGCCACCATAACCCTGGCGGCCGCTCGGCGGGGCGTCCTTAAAGGCTACTGCCGCTCCGCTGCCACGCTTGGAGGCCATCCATGCCCGCACTGCGGCTCGGAAGGCTGCGGACAAGTCGCGGTGACCGGCACTCAAAAAAACAACACGGATTGAGGGCGGCTCGGTTTCAGAATCTAATTCTCGCCTTGGCGCCGCGCGCGTTCGTTTTTTTTGTTGATTTGCAGACGCTTCACGGATTGAGGGCGGCCCAATTCCGAAATCTAGCTCTCGCCCAAGCGCCGCGCACATTGGTTTTAACAATGTGCACGGGTTTCGCGGATTGAAAGCGTCTCGGTTTCAAAATCGAGTTTTCGCCCTAGCGCCGCGCACGTTCGCTATCAGAACTGTGCGCGAGTTTCACGGGTTTAAAGCGGCTCGGTTTCAAAATGTTGTTCTCGCCTTGACGCCGCGCGCATTCGTCTTGCAAAAGGTGCACAGGTTTAACGGATTGAAGGCCGCTCATTTTCGAAATCAGACTCTCGCCTTAGCGCCGCGCGCGCTCTTTATAAAACGTTGCGCCACTTGCACGGAGAGAAAGCGGCTCGGTTTCAAAAGGTGGCTCTCGCATTAGCGCCGGACGGATTCATTTTGTAAATGTGGACGTTCTTCGCGGTTCGAGGGCGAACCAATCGAAATCTGGTGTTCGCCCTCGCGCCGCGCACATTTGTACATATATGTATATATGTATGTATGTCTATATATATACACATATATATATACTAGAACCACGCGCGCGCTTCGCGCGCGCTTAGGTTCTAGCTAATTAGGATCGTCACCGTCGATCTGCGGCGGCGGGGGAAGGCCCCGAAACGAAGAAAGCCCCGAACCGCACCACCACCACGACGAAACGGCCCCCGCCCAAAACGTCCAAAAAGCATTTGTATTGGTTGTTGCGTCGCCAGGAGTTCTGGGCTCCCTCCTCCTCGTGTTCCTACCTCCTCTCTGGACGTCCGATGTCGTGATGTTTTCTGTGCGCGGCCCCTGGACCTCTCGACGACTTCCTAGGGATGGTTTTTTTTTTTTCATCCTGAGTCGTTTTCTGACGGTCCCGGGACCCTGCGAGGGGCCCCGGAGGCCGAAAATTGACAAAAACCGCCGTCGTGATTTTTCCAAGACGTCGGAGGTCCAGGTCGTGCTTCCCGCCTCCCCAGACCTCCGACGTCGTAATTTTTGCGACCTCGGGCCCAGGAATCGATTGGGAAAACGCACATGGGAAGGCAAGAAATGATGGACCCATCATTTCGTACCTGTGCCTTGATCAGTGGGACGGGCTTCGCACCGCCGCACATCACAAGACACGCTCCAGCGGATCCAGCCATGGCGACGTCGGGGACTGCAGAAGGTCGCAAGGACACGGAATCTGAAAGGAAGAGAGAGAAAGATAGAGAGAAAGAGAGGGAAGAAGGCCAGAGAGCGCTGAAAGATACAAATACTGGAACCCTCTTGGGATTTTTTGGGGGGCCTCGTCCGGCCGCTCGCTGGGAGTTTGACGTAGCTTCTCGGGAGCCTCTGAACCTGTCGGGGGCCTCCTGGAAGCAGGTTCGAAGCATTTTGGGGGCCGATTTGGGGCTTCTCGGGGCCTCCTTTGGGCCTCTTGGGGGTCTCCTGGGGCCTCTTGAGGGGCCTCCTTGGGGCCTCCTGGCGGCCTCTTGGGGCGGAAGGCTCGAGCTTGCGGTTCGTGGTCCCCCTCTGGGCCCCCTCTTGGGCCCGTCTTGGGGCCCTCTTGGGCCATCTTGGGCACCTCTTGGGCCGCTTTGGGGCCCTCTTGGGCTGTCCTGGGGCCCTCTTGGAAGCTTCTTGGGCCGTCTTGGGGCGGTCTTGGGCGCCTCTTGGGCCGTCCTGTAACGTCGGAAAGCCCAAAAGGCGACTTTGTGAAAATGTACGTTTTACGAAGGGAATGGGCCAATTTTTGCGTCTAGGGGCCCTCTTGGGACGCATGTTGGAGGCTTCTTGGGGCGTCTTGGGGGCGTCCTTGGACGTCTGGGGTCTCCTGGGGCCTCTTGAGGGGCCTCCTGGGGGCCTCCTGGCGGCCTCTTGGGGCGGAAGGCTCGAGCTTGCGGTTCGTGGTCCCCCTCTGGGCCCCCTCTTGGGCCCGTCTTGGGGCCCTCTTGGGCCATCTTGGGCGCCTCTTGGGCCGTCTTGGGGCCCTCTTGGGCTGTCCTGGGGCCCTCTTGGAAGCTTCTTGGGCCGTCTTGGGGCGGTCTTGGGCGCCTCTTGGGCCGTCCTGTAACGTCGGAAAGCCCAAAAGGCGACTTTGTTGAAAATGTACGTTTTACGAAGGGAATGGGCAAATTTTTGCGTCTAGGGGCCCTCTTGGGACGCATGTTGGAGGCTTCTTGGGGCTCTTGGGGGCGTCCTTGGACGTCTGGGGTCTCCTGGGGCCTCTTGAGGGGCCTCCTGGGGGCCTCCTGGCGGCCTCTTGGGGCGGAAGGCTCGAGCTTGCGGTTCGTGGTCCCCCTCTGGGCCCCCTCTTGGGCCCGTCTTGGGGCCCTCTTGGGCCATCTTGGGCGCCTCTTGGGCCGTCTTGGGGCCCTCTTGGGCTGTCCTGGGGCCCTCTTGGAAGCTTCTTGGGCCGTCTTGGGGCGGTCTTGGGCGCCTCTTGGGCCGTCCTGTAACGTCGGAAAGCCCAAAAGACAACTTTGTTGAACATGTACGTTTTACGAAGGGAATGGGCCAATTTTTGCGTCTAGGGGCCCTCTTGGGACGCATGTTGGAGGCTTCTTGGGGCCTCTTGGGGGCGTCCTTGGACGTCTGGAGGCCATCTTCAGCATCTCGGAGCCCTCTTGGAGGCCTCTTGGAAGTTTCTTGGGCCGTCTTGGGCGCTCCTGGGGCCGTCTTGTCTGACCGGGGAGGCCTCCGGCAAGCCCCGACGAGCCTCCGGGCCCCCCGGAGCCCACATTTGTGGTCGGGGTCCCGGCCCCGGGCCCCCGGACCCGGTGCGCCGTTATATGTATGTATGTATGTATGTATGTATGTATATATATATATATATTATATAATATATATATATATATATATATATATATATGTATACACACACACACACACGGAAGGCGGCTCGTTTTCGAAATCTAGCTCTCGCCGAGGCGCCGCGCGCATTCGCTCCGATAAAATGAGCGGGCTTCGCGGGTTGAGGGCTGCTCGCGCCGACGGCAGCCCAGCCTTCGCCCGATGAAAAGCACGTCTGAGAGCACTGTCGTCTCGAAAAGTCCCTAGCACTAAAAGCCGTTCCTCGGCTAAACACTGAAAGCCGTCCCTCGGCTGAGCGCTGCAAGCTCCTCCTCCATGCTCTACTCCTCGTCCTCCTTGTTCCCCCCCCTCCTCCTTGCCCCCCCCCCGTCCTCCTGGCTGCGTCGCTGGTTATGTTACGCTGAATTCGCTAAGCGCGTGCAGCGCGCTTGCTGAAAGCATTTTTGAAACCAACTCGAATCAGCAAAGCTGATCTGAGCTCGCAATGATCTGGCTTCGCAGCCCAGCGCCACAATGATCTGACGCCACCACTGACGGCGCTGCGGTCGCCAGGATTAGGCGCTCTCGGGCGCCTGCTGCCTGAGAGCAGGAGCTGCTGATCATCCTCATGCACTGCGCAATCTGGACGACTTCGTCGCGGCGATTCTTTCTACTGGCCCAGCTGCTCCCAGTCCCGGGGGCGTCGAGCTGAGAGATCTCGAGCGGCGTCTCAGTGCTGACGTCGCCCTGGCGCCGCGGCACACCCTGCGCGCAACGGATCTGAAACCGACACTTTTGCATCACTTTATCCCACGCGCGCTCGCTGATGCCGCGGTCGTCGGTGTCTGGCGTTTTCGGGCGCCTGGTACCTGAGAAGAAGAGTTGCTGGTAGTCCTTATGCCTCTTTGCCGCTTGGGCGCCCGCGTCGCGGTGGATCTCCCTCCTCGCCCAGCACCCCTCAACCCCTGTGGCGTCGGGGTGACAGACATTGAGCTGCGTTTCAGCTTTGGGGGCGCGCGGGCGCCGCGGCGCGCTGAGTTCCGAGCTGGGAAACGGAATGCTGACCGGCGCCCGTTGTGCCTCGCGGCTGGCGACGGCGCTGGCACTTTCGGGAGACTCCCCATGGGGGGGGATCCCATGGGGGGGCAGGAGGTGATCCCCCCCATGGGATCCCCTCCTGCCCCCCCATGGGATCCCCAGGGGATCCTATGGGATCCCCCCCCTGGGATCCTATCCCCCCA